AAACCCCTAAAATGTACTTTGAGCCTCTTGAAGTATATTTTTGGAGCCCCCAGCGGTTAAAAGAAGTTTGGGAAAGCAGTGCTGTCAAAATTGATTCCAAAAAAATGTTTTGAAAAATTATTTTTAAAGCAAAGAAACTGTAAAACAAAACACACATAACTGGACTGTTATAAAATTAAAGTTGGGAATCCTCAGACACATCGAATATGACGTTATTGCAGTTTCTTACATTTACAGTAACACACATTACTATTTATCACCTTTTTTCAACTGCAAATTATGTTCTCAAAGTTAAACTATGTCTGTATCGGTTTTCTACAGTAACACAAATTTATTTCACGTTAGTTTTTTTTCAAAAGGAGATTCTCAAGCACGCCAGCACTGTCACTAAAACATGCCATAAATGTTGCCATAAGGCGGAGCTTACTGAAAGGGGTCAAGTTGGCAATTAGATCCAATCTGTTTCTGACAATACAGCAATGAAATGTGATAAATCGTCAGCTCACGTAGTGGCTTGGCAGCCTTCCCGCTTTATAGAAATATAACCAGTTGGCAGCCAGCTGAGTTGAGTCCCCTTGAGTTGTGCTCATTGACAGACTCGTTCAGACTGATGGCAGCATGTTAGATATTATTATTGTTGACACAATTATTTACGAACCATTGACAATCTCTCTGAGAGATTTGCAGAAAAGTTGCCTCCTATCAGGCGACCTGTGCAATCAACTTTTGATCACAGTTGGATAATTATCTCATGTGTATAATTAGCCCATTTAAAACTATGTGAAAACATTCGTAGAACAAAAGAAAATTCAAACAAGAAAAAAATCAACTGTTTACCTTCAGCTGACCTCCATTCACTTATTTTCTCTAATTATGTCAGGTTAAGTCATTCACACCTCTCCCTCCGTCTCTCCTTACACTGCCCATTGTGTGTCTGAGTCAGTGATCGCTCCACCCACTTGACTTTGACATAAACACTAAGCTGTGTTGCAGGTGCATTGCACTCCATTAATTCCACCCCAGCAGCGATGTAATTTTGCTCGTGGGTGTCCAGCTTCATATTTTTGTGCTGATATTTTTTTCCTTATTTCCTCATCATTTTCAGTTTAATATAAAGTATTTTTTGACAGCCGTAAAAGGACAATGGACTCACAGCTTGTAAATGACATCCAAGGCTTAAAATCTCTCAGGCTTCTATGTTCCTTCTTGAGGGCGGTTGGGGTTTAAACTTTTTTCCTTACTTTAAATATGAAGTATCAGCTTTACTGAATGCTCGGGGAGCTTGCTGAGGTTGTGTCACAATGTGTGATATGAAAGTATTGAAATGGGATGAGAACTGGTGACCAAGTCTAAACGCACAAAAACAGGAAACGTTTAGAAAGGGGCAGAATATTGCGGACAATGTCAAACACTGGCGGTGTGTGTTTATTAAAGAACTATTTAAATGTGA